CCCGCGCTACTGTGGGTTGGGGCCTCTCCAGCGTTGGTCGGCGATTCTTGGGTTGAGGAGATGGACTTCTCGAGTTGCCGTTTTGGTCTTCCCGTGGGGGGGACCGTTGCGGCGCTCCTCGTTCCAGCGCGCCGATGCGAGTTTTTTGTTGGAAAAGCAGTTAATTGGTTTGGTTGATAGCCACAAAGAGTGCAGCTGTTGTCGGATCCGCTCCAGCCGGGATAGGAATGGGCTGGAACATCGGTGGACTCCTCGACCTGAGAACAGTCTGGTGGGTAGTCTCGTTGGGAGAAGGGGAGGCGGTACGACCGTCCCTCTCATCAGTTTCAGGACGTTGGGACGTCTCTGTCTGCTTGCGACCATTCGCGCCGGGAGCGTGGGCTAATTCGAGGACCGTACCACCGCGGGGCGGGCTAGACATGACCGTAAAGTGATGACGAAACTTTGGTTATCTGCTCGGAGTAACGGGGAAGTTTCAGTTTCCCATAGACGACGCCACTGAGCTGACCTGATCAGAAGGAAGGTCACGGTCTGGCCACGTCCTGCTGGACTGGTACCTGTCCACCGGTGCTGAGAAGGGAAAAGAGGGGGTGTACCTGTAAGGAACTCCGATGCCAAAGTAAGATATTTGGGCAGAGCAATTGCAAATACAGAGGGTAAGAAGTGAATACCTGACCCTCTTGTGGAAGAGGGTATTTATAGACCCCAGCGCTGGGCCAACGGTCATTTGAGCTGGGCTGGATGACCAGGCCCAACCCAAAGGACTGCTAGGGCTTATGTGGCATAGAGAAGACCGGAACGTGGTCTTCGCCCTAGTTCAACTGCTCCATGACTTCCGGAAAATACGCCTGGTCTTTCGGAGGTAGGCAGTTGGGGAGTGACGTATCCTCGCGGAGTGGAGCACGTGGAGGACGCGTGAGGGCCACGTCTGTCCTGCTCGGTAGGGGAAGGTTATGCCCGTGACGGATTCCGTGGATCAGACGATTATGTGTCCGGCTCATGGCACGTGCCCGACAAGTGACTCGCGCCCGTGTGTAATACGTTCCCGGCAAGTGGTATGTGTCTGACAGATGGCACGCGTCCAACGGGTAGTACGTGCCCGACGAGGGTTCCTGCCCGGCTAGGGTGTGTTTGGGCCTTCGAGGAAAATGTGATTGGGCCTGGCCGACTCAGTCGAGGCCCAGTCCAGAACAAAATTCAAATTAGATAATCTCTTATGTTACCCAGACAATCGAAAAATGGTTAATGTCGAGTGTCGTTCACCCTCAATTGATAGTGAAGGAAAGGTGAAGTTCAATAAGTTTGAGCTGAAGACAAATGAAATTTTAAGAGTTATGTGGAGTACATATCTCTGTTACACAACAAAAGGTCTGGTCGAGGAGCATGTGACAATGACGAGATCAACCAACGATATTCTAAAGATGTTTAAACATTTTCAACCATCTTTTGATTATGAAATGTCATATTAGATTTATGTTAACAAATACTTATGTAATGTTACATATTTTGTGTAACGAATTTTTTTGTTAATTTTTATTTTTCTTCATCTCTTGTCTGGAACTGCTTGTGGTTTTGTGATAATCGAATATATTTCTGATTCTAAACTCCAAAACAAATCTTGAACATTTATATGAGCTTTTTATTTATTATAATATCATAGAAGAAGTCGAATTTTGACATCCAAATACCCATTAAATGTCATGGAAGTTTGATTTTGGATGTGATGTCGGAGGACACATCCAGAGTCTAATATTCAAACTCTTTTTAATATTTGCTTTAGAATATTTTAGGATTTGTTGTGTATTTTGAAGGTGTTGGATTTTAAAATCCAAAATTTAAAGATATTTTTGTCTTTCTTTAATATTTGCTTTAGAGTATTTCAAGGTTTGTTGCGTACTTTAGATGCATTAGAATTTTAAAATTCAAATTCTAATAATGTTTTAAATTTTTACAAGTGTGTGAGTAAATCATTGAATGGATTAAACAATCTAATTTTTCTAAAATTTCTAACGGGAACAAAACCATATTAAAAAAAGTATAGCTAAAAATCATTTTAAAAAGAAGAATTAATAGGTATTTATCCCCTACCATTTAAGGGTTTTTTAGTTTTTTCCCTTGTAATTTTTTATTTAAAAAATAAAATCTTGTTACGGAAAGATTCTCTTGACTTAAACCTTTTAGTGATCAGATTCACTTGAGAAGCTGATGTGGCAAGTGAGTGTTGACTGAATCTAAAAATTCATTGCCACATGTACATAATGTTTGAAATCAGCCATAACTCAAGAAAATGCAAGAAAGCAGATCATAATCCAGTGGCTTTGGAAAGAAAGGTAAGAATTCCTTATTGTCGTGTACTTAATTTTCTTGTGTAACTAGTTGATGTTAATATTGTCATAATTGCCATTTGTAAAGAAAGACACCTAGATATTATACAAAGAAAGCAAAAGTCACTATTGGTGCAGTTGAAGTACCCTTTCCAGCTAGTGCAGTTGAAGTACCTTTTGCAACTGTTGTAGTTGAAGTAGCCCTTGTAATTGGTGGAACTAATGGAACTGCTGAGGACAGACATGGCACATTAACACAAGAAACTACTGCCTTGTCATGTTGTGACTAGTATAATGTGTTTGATTAGTATGGTAGTTGATACAATGTAGTTAATTAGCTTTTGTTTAATTAGTATGACAATTGCACAGCAGGTGATATTAGGTAATAATATTTTGAATGACTGTGATGCCTTATTATACAATGACAATTGCACAACATGTAGTATTATGTAATGATATTTTAGTTTGCTATTCAAATTGTAATTAGATTTTGATTTTGAGTCAAAATGATATTGAAAAGTAATACTGAAATGCTACTCAAATTGATATTGAAAAGTATATTGCAATTGAACCAAACTGAAATTGTACTCAAACCCATTTCATTTTGAAAAATGATATTTGTACCAAATTATATTGAAACAAACTCATTCATTCATGCATTAAAATCTCAAACTGATACATTGGAACAATTACTTCAAATTAAAAGGTCAAATTGTAATGAAACAACTACAACATATTGAATACGGTGGCAAACAACACCTATAACACTATTAGTGCAACAATTAACCAATAACTTTTGTTCCTTTCATGTTGCAGATTCTTCTTAATTTTTTCAAGCTTCTTTGAACAAGATTCTTTGGCATACTCCTTCCCAAACTCCTTTGCAAATTTCTTGTCAAACTCTCTCAAATAACTAATCATGTCTTCTCATTTATTGCAATCATCTGCTAAATGATTGTCAAATGTCTTAATTCCATATTTCCACTCAATTTCATCAAGCTCATCATCCCAAATAAACAAATCAATCTCTGTCTGCATTTAAGAACCAAAGGAAACATGAATTTAGAGAAGAATGAAAAATAAAAAACATCGCTACATGATTTTCATACCTTTTGTCCGTTCCTGCATCTCCAAATTTTGCTCTTGGAATTTTCTGACGTATTTGAGAACCAAATCCTCGTGACCTTATTGCAATCATATCTAAGTATTTGTCTTTCATTCGAAGTATCGATTCAGGACAATTTATTGTATATCATTTGCAACGCCGTTTTCACTATAAGCTTCTCGACACTTTAATGACATCTTTTAATTTATGGCAAATGTGAAGGATGGAAGCACTTGCCACATTTGATACATGTGACAACGAATTTTTAGATTCAGTTAACATCCACTTGCCACATCAACTCCTAAAATGAATCCAACCACTAAAAAGTTTAAGTTAAGAAAATCTTCATGCGACAAAGTTCTATTTCTTTTCATAAAAAAAAAATATAGAAAAAAAAACAAAAAAAAAAACAAAAAACCCTTAAGAGCATCTTTAGTGGGAGTATCTTAAGTGGGTAAACTAAGATGTTTTTTGTGAGTCCAAAGTAATTTGTAGGACTTAAAAATTTTATAATTGATTTGAGTTGTTTTTACTTTAATGATAATTGCTTATAAAAAACTAAAACTTGACCCTATGTTTTTTATATTTTAATTATAATTATTTTTTTTACAAGACTTTAATAATATAAATAATAATATTATATGTTTCAAAATAAATAGCATACGTTAATTATATAATTGTCGAAACCTAAAAATTAGTGAATTAAATAATATGTCACATTCATTTCAATGCAAATTTTATAAAAAATTATGCTCTAAATGATAAATGACAAGGGTTAAATACCTATTAACCTTTAAAAAATAAAAAAAATAAAAAAAAAATAATAATAATAATAATAAAAAGGTAAATAACTCAATTCAAATAACTTTCTTTTAGTAGTTATGCAGATAGATACATGTGGGACTGAATTTCAGCCATTGGATAATAATTAAATCTTATAATTAGAAAAATAAAAAATAATAATAATCCTATTAAAATGGAATGAGTCATTGTTATAGAACAAAATATTGCTACACGTGGGAGTAGATGTTATAATATGAAACACAGCAAAATTTATTGTTACTTTTACAATACTTTTGCAAAAGCAACAGCTAGTTTATGACAGTTGAAGCAAAAATTATCCAAAATGCATAGTAGACTACACATAATTCATGAGTAACTTGAAAAAAAACTATTTACTTCTGTAGTTATATAAGTCATACAGATTATTTCACAAAATCAATATATATTTACATGAAATTTCTCTTTAGAGTTAATTGTACCAGTTTTCAACATTAAGAAAATTGAACTAGAAATTCTCGCACAACAAAAAAAACAACAAATTTTTATGAACACTATATTTTGCATGTTCATTCCCCATGTGGCGGTCAAAAGTAAGTTCACATACAACTTTATTTACCAAACAGCATCATTAAGTTTTGAACAGGTGAAAGCTTGGAGCATATACATGCAAAAGCAAGCAACCAATGACAGTGTAATATATAAATCCAACTACATAACAGCCGTCAGATTAGCTTCAACAAGGTAAAATAGATCCAACTAAATACACAGCCATCAGATTAGTTTTTTCCTCATTTTTTCCCACGCAGTTTGGCACCAAGTGCTCTCTCCAATTTGCCAATTATCTGCTGATTTGGAATGGCTTTTCCTGACTCATACTCCTGGATCACTTGAGGCTTCTCATTGATTATCTGCAAGCAAAAATGTTCCTTGTTAATATCGAACTTCATCTAATAATGAAACTAAAACACAATATATGTGGTGGGTGAAGTCGGAAGCAATACTTGAGCAAGTTGTGCCTGAGTAAGCTTCTTGTCCGTCCGGGCTTGCATTATAGCTTTCTTGAGTTCAGTTGGGACCCGATCATCTGCACGCACAAGTCCATACTACATATATAAGCATTAAAGTAGAAAGATCATAAATTCACACCACTACGTACTCATTAATTTTATAATCGAATACCGGACAAAAAGATAGGATATCAGTTTGTAGAAAATCTTTGCGTAGGATGAGGACTACTATTATAGATGACAGTATCATGAGCTCTGAATCAGTGTTGTCAAATGGCAGGCATGGGGAAATGGTATGGCAAATTTTGACATTCCGCTAATTCGAGAAGAGGTGTCTGCTACGGCAGCAGCATAGGCTGCAATGGCGTGTTTGTTGGCGGGTTTTGGCCTTCCACTATCAACAACACTGCACTGCTCACTAATTATTGAAGGAGAGATTGAACTACACTAGAACACAGTACATTCATACATTCTCATGTCCAAACTATTTAGCCATTTTTGACATTGGGATTAAAAAACTTAGCCTAATTATTTATAATACCTAAAATATAACTTAACTAAGATATTAAATCAAACAAATAAACTACATATATCCACAGTAATCAAAAGCAATAGGAAATTTCTCAGTGATTATATAACAACTGCAGATACCAATTCCATGACCCTACATTTGATATTTCAAAATTTAGCAAAGTAAACACAGCCTAAAGAAATAATATTGCTAAAAACTCAACAGATATATCTATATAGCAAGCCCAAGCTAGTAAAAGAATATGAAATTCACCAGTAATTATGCATGTTACACATTATACATATAAAAACTTCAAACAAGGTCTTATATTCCAAATTCGAAAAGTTAACACCAAGTAGTATAAGCAACTTTTGTCATGACAAAGTCATACTTCCAGTTCAGCCCACATGCTTCAACCAACAAGATATATATACCCAAGGAAACACCAGGAAATTAGGAATACTATACAACGCGGTAGAAAAGTAGAACCCCACACATAGATGTAAAAAGGTTCATTCAATTCAACATTACAAAATGTAAATTAAAAAAGTAGTAGAGTAACCGAAGACTCACGAGCTAAATTCTCTGTATCCTCATCCAACCTCTTAGTGTTCAATGAAGTGCTGCTAGAAGCAGCTTTGTTTGTGGCAGCATTATCTGTATAGAACAACCCAACACAATCAACATTCTGCAGAAAAAACAGCTTTTAAAACTACACAATCCACCAGCACAAAAACCATTCAAAACAATACTGAAATCCAATAATCCAGTGTCCAACATCAAATTTAAACGCATCATATAACAAACTTAAAAATTGGAATTTAAAAAAAATAACAAAATGACCCCTAATAAGAAATATCTAGAATCAATACCGAGTTAAACGCTTCGATCCAAAGTACAGAGATCAAAAGATTGACACTTAGTGAATATTCATAAATGATCGAAGAAATGAAAGGGAAGAAGCTTAACGTTTCTTCATGGTTTCGATATCGGCTCCGGAACGGCGAGCGGCGTTGACGGCTTTGTCATCCTTTCTGGCAGCGGAGGTGGGGGCTTTTTTGCGGAGAACGACGGGCTCCCAGTCTTGTGAAAGAGGTCCAACTCCTGACATTTTTGGATAGTTTCGATTTTTTGGGTACGAATTTGATTGTAACGGTGTTGTTCGTTGCGTTGAGACGTATAGGGTTTTGTAAGAAGATCGTGAAGAAGATGAAGATAAAGTGGAGATTCTTGCTCAGTTAGCTTTCTCTATTTGGGCTTTTTCTTGGGCCAACAATCACGTATTTTTTGAAATTTTATTTCACACCCTACACTTATACTTTTAACCCCATCACTATTTAGTATTTCAATTTTGGATTTGGTTGAGATACACCCCTATATTATTTTTTATGTATAAAAAGCTTACCATATAATTCCATTTCAAGTGTTGTGTTACTTTTTAGTTGCATCAAGTAACCTTTAGTATTCTTAATTATTTATTAAAAAGCTTGAATTTATAAATTTATGTTATAGGTTATTCTAGGCATCTCATAAGGATAAGATTTAATAGTTCAATAATATAAAATTTAAATAAATTTATCTACACATGGAAGACTTAAAGTTTGTTTGTTTTATTTATTTTCTAAAAAACTTGTATTTCCAAAAAATATTTATGAAAATGTTTTTTAAATTTATTTTTTATAAATTGAAAGATTAATTTTGATATCTTATAACATAAACGTACATTATTGAAGATCAAAATATAGTCAAAATCGCAATTTTTTAAAAAAGTTATATTTCAAAAATAATTTATATGAAAAGTTATTTGAAATATTTTCAAAATTAAGTAATTTTTTAAAATTTTAATATTTAAAAAAAATTAATAAAATGATGAAATCTTTTAAGAACAATTATTCAAACTAAATTTTTATTTAAAATTTTTATTAAAAAATTCTATGTAAATTTTTTTTAACAAAAAATAAGTAACACTATAAAATTCATTTAAAAAAAAGTTAAAATAAACTGCCTTTTAAGGTACATTTTTTTTATCTCATAATTTCACTTTTCTCATCTCTGATTATGTAATTGATTTGGGTATTTGAGTGTTAACCTTGCAGATCCACTATAACTAACACCTCGATTTTTTTCCTTTAATTTTTAATTAAGTTAATTTGTGTATTTGAGTGATTTAGTGTGGCTATATAATTTTACATATTAATTTAAATTAAATATTGCTTTATGGGTGTTAGCATGTAATGAGATGGTTGGAAATAATAGAGTATTATGGTGATAGTGTAGAAGTGGTGAAATAATTAAAATAATAGTGTTTTAACCATTAAATGAAATAATATGAGTAGTAACATTTCTAGTGAATTTAATTATTTTGTTATTAGAGATAAAATAATAAGAATAGAATAATTAAATATAAGAAATAAAAGAGGAGTGTATTGTTGGATTTTTATGAGTAACTGAGGATTGAAAGGTAAATCCAAAATTCAAGAGTTTTGTTATTATAAAAAGAACGTTAGAGAGTTAGTGGATTTTTTGACCGCACGTGAATTGGAAGAGTGAAATTGATAGGGCAAAGAGAAGAGTAAAAGGAGAGTTAGCATGGAAGGAGAGGAGAATCAAGAACATAACCAACCTTTGTTGTTAGGAGAATAACGTAATGGAGGGAAAATAGATTTTAATAGGGCTTATGCATGAGGGGTAGGGTAGAGGACTCCTTAATCTCCAATAGGGCATTGGGTTGTTCATAAAATTTTGAGTTTCTATGATATTATGATGTTGATTGGCTAAGTTTATGTGTATTTTCATGTACAATTTGGCATGTGATTACGATTTTGAAATTGTTAATATTTTCCATCATTGTCGAAGGTTTGAAGCTTCTGGATTAATATGTTTTCGAGAAAATTGAGAATTCTATGTGTTAAATTGTTGTTTTAATCATTAGATAATTGTATTACGTCGAATTTTGAGATCAGGAGTTTTTTACAGAATCGAAATCGAAGGTCCAAAAGGCCTCCAACGATTAAAAACACATATTTCTGCATTTTGCAGCGGTTCAATGCGTCACGAAAAAACCGGGCATCAGCTACGGTGATGGTCCAACCGTCGTCGAATAGGCTGATTTGGTCCAAATACAGTTTTAATCATAACTTGATATCTGCGACTCTGTTTGAGATGCGATTCAAAGCATTAGAAAGCTAACGCGTAATACTTTCAATTGGTAATAAATTCAGAGGTTGAATATACTGTGATAACATGAGTAATTGATGAGAACGATTATTAAAAATTATTTGATCATGTAAATGTCGAGTTGTATGAGTTTGAGGAATATGTTTTATGAGTTGTGGAAATATTTGAATATGTTGCTATGGCGAGATGTTAAACATTGAGAAGAAGTATGAAATATGGAAATGTTGCGAATACGGATTATTTTGAGTTATGCTTGTTGTATTGCTACATATGTGAAATATAATTTCGTTGAGACGAATTATTAACATGCTTGTGTTGCACCATTTATTGATAATGTGAATTTTGTGATTTTGGTGTGATGTAATCCTGAGAGAGGATTACTTAAGTTGTCAATGCATTTTATTAGATATTTCGTTTTGGGGCTGCTGCAAAACTAAGAATAAATGGAGATGAAAATTGAGAAATAAATTTGCTTGATAAATTTCCAAAGCGTGTGTTTCCACACTAAGCTTAAGGAATAATTCACCCCACTAATCTTTGTAGGTTGGATGAAAAATGGTTTACCGGTGAACTTTCTGTAGGATACTTTGGAATCCTTAAAGAGAATTGCACAATCTCTCTAAGCGTATCTTTTGATAATATTTTACAGAAGAATATTTCTTTTACTTGCTCTCATGCATTAGAGAAGACAAAGATGATTTAGAATGAGAAAATAATTTTAAGAGTAAATAATTTTTCATGCTTTAATCAAATGCCAAGAACCTCTTATTTATAATGAGATTTAGATCTGTTTAGAAACAGAAAACAGCTCTCAGAAGTTTTGCACCGTTTTAATTAAAACTTATAAAAAGAGGTATTACACATTTTCAGCATAAAAATAGTATTGTCCAATTGGTAAGTTGCATTTGTTCCTAAATAAAAGGTAACTAGTCATTTTTCATTTTAAATTATTTATATTTAAATAAATAACAAAATTATTCAACTGATCATCCAATTTTTTAGATACAAAATTTGAATATAGTATTTATTTCATTATTTCAAATAATACAATCATCCAATATATTATTATTTTGGAAATTTTTCTCACAATCCCCCACCATTTTCAAAATAACTAAATCTCATAATTCAGAAAATATTATGGTTTCAAATATTGTTATCTGACGATTTGAACCAATACTTAGTAAGTTATGGGTTCCACTCATCCCGAATAGACATTGGTAGACAAGATTTGAACCAACTATTCATTAGAACAAGTATACAAAACTTACACATGAAATTTCGATAGTATCAAAATAATTGTAAATATGACACATTTGATAAGGCCTTATGTCATGTGTCCTTTTCATGAGAATTTAAGAATCAAGCCTTTGAACTCTATGAGCGGCCCACTTCATTCTCATATAGGTAGATTATATCAGAACTGCTCCCATAATAAGCATTCCAGTAAATATATATTATATATCTATTAAGAGAATAATCTCATCCTATCACTTTACTTTTATGGTCTAATTATTTTTTTCCCTTTGGAATGCATATATTGCCAAGTATTTCAATCACTCTAATAATTTAATTTCATCATTGAACTCAAGACTTGATTTTAATCAAGTAGGAGTTGAGTTTTGACTATTGGTGATCAATTATATATGGGCTTGAGACTCATCCCTAATGATGTCTTCAAAACCATGTCTTTTGTCAGACCTTTCGTCAAAGGATCTGCAAGATTATTTTTAGTTCTCACGTACATTGTGGAGATTATTCCATTTAAAATTAAATCCTTCACATAGCTATGTCTTATACCAATGATCTTCTATTATATACTTGGCTATATGCTTTAGATAGTGTGGATTGACTATCATAATGTATGGATACGGGTGTTATTGGCTTTGGCCAAATAGGTATCTCATATAACAAATTTCTTAGCCATTCGGCCTCTTTAGTACCTGTAGCCATGGTGGAGTCGACAATGCAAGTCTGTTTCTTTGAACTCTAAGAAACTGCACCTCCAACAAGATTGAAGATCCATCCACCAGTAGAAGCATGATCTTCTACATATGCTACCCAGCTAACATACGTATATTCTTCCAAAACCGAAAGATATCCATTATATGTTAAAGTATAGTTAATCGTCCCTTTCAAGTATTTTAATACTCTATTAACAACATGCCAATGGTCTTTACTTAGATTACTTGTATACCTACTTAACCTACCAACATCATATGATATATCAGGTCTGATACTAGTCATAACATACATCAAGCATCTAATTACCTTTGAATATTCAAGTTGTGCCACAAGACACCCTTTACGTGGTTGCAAATTAACATTTTGATCAAATGGGGTAAAAACGGATTTGCAATTGAAATGATCAAATTTCTTAAGCACTTTTTCAGTATAGTGAGGTTGAGATAAACAAATATGTTCACCATCTCTTATGATTTTAATCCCTAAAATCACATATGTTTCACCTAAGTCTTTCATATCAAAAAAATTGGATAAGAAAGCTTTAGCTTTTTCTACCTCTTTTATTCAGTACCAAAGATTAGCATATCATCCACATATAAACAAATCATAACCCTTTTTCCATTGTTAAATTTACTATAAATACATTGGTTAGATTCATTTATTTTGTATTTTTTAGCCAACATAACTTGGTCAAATTTTTGATGTCATTGTTTGGGTGCTTGTTTTAACCCATATAAAGATTTAGTTAATTTACACACTTTATGTTCTTGACCTTTGATAACAAGCCCTTCGGGTTGGTTCATATACACCTCTTCATCTAACTCTCCATTTAGGAAGGCAGTTTTAACATTCATTTGATGAATGACAAATTTAAAGATGGAAGCGAGTCCAAAAGCACTCTAATTGATGCAATTCTTGCAACAGGTGCATATGCATCAAAGTAATCAATTCCTTATTTTTGTGTAAATCCTT